TCTGCCATATTCATTTATTACTGATAGTTTCTGGTCAATGTACCTGAAATATTTTGTGTAGACAGCCATTTATGAACACCTGTACTTGTTTTGGTCATGTTCCTGGTAGTTTCATGATTTCTACCATATACAATAAAACCATTTTGATGATGATATCAAAATTTCTGATTTTGCCCTTGATTAACAGTTATTTTGAGCTCTGGATATCCTTGAACTTTAGGACTGTTGCTCTTGCTTTTCTGTTTAGTGCTTTCTAGGTGCACAAAAGCTTTCAACTCTCCCAGGGCTTTTTAATCAAATATGATTTAGCTGATGCTTGCTGTGTTGTGCTTCAAGATCGTGTGTTTTTCCTTGTAAATGATATGGTTTACTTCTGAGAAAACTGCTGCTACGTTGGCAGTATTTATCTAATTTTGCTACTATATATGCGATAGAGGTGTTATTACATACGTAAAGATCTAGGGCACCGATGTACGTCAAAGATATCCACTGTACTCCGAGTTTTTACTAAGATGTAGAAGTCATCACAATCGAACCAGAAACCATTACAAAAAGCAAAGATGAGCGTAAGTAATCTTACCTGACACTCGCTTCCGTTCGAAATATGTCTTTGAGTTATTCTGTACGTATGACTTCGAATTGAAGTCCCTCAAGGGAGTTTCATGTGATGGCGATAGTCCTTTTAGCTTCTCCATAGTATTCAAGGTTCGTCTGTGTTAGTCTATTGAAGGGCCTTTCAAAGTGTTCTACCCACTTGCTCCCCTGATTTTGAACCACAGCTATTGGTTTTCCTTCTGTGTTCCTGACTAGTTGCTGTGTTCCACCATATTACCCTACAAGCTTCTCGTTTGCATTATACATTTCTTTCATACATCCACCCCTCAAATTTCTCTGCTGTAGTCACCAGGTTTTCGACACATCTCCGCTTGTTTGCTTCTGTACATTCAGTTTGTAGCTTGATTTCCCCTACTTTTGTTCGGATGTTGTTGACTGTGATTTTCTCGTTTTATTTTCCTTGAATCTTGCTCATGATATCTATGGGGATTTATTCTTGATCCTGGTGCTTCTTGCAGTCCTGCACCTTGAATGTTGAAGTTGTTTGTTGTTTAATTCCTCTCCAGTTGTTCTCCATGTTAGTTTCCTCTTTTTTCGGTAGATCTCGTAAGGCTTGTAATTTTTATGGTGTTGCTCGCTCAATTTTCCGATGCTTCGTTAACTCCAGTTTCATCCTGACCATCAGCAGGTGGTTATCTGAATCTGCGTCAGCTCCTGTCTTTGTTTGCACGTCTTCTATTGACCTTCTGAAATTTTTATTGATGCCAGTATGATCATTCTAATTCTGTGAAGTGTGGTCCTGAGCGTTTCTCGACGATAGAATTCAGCCTCTCATGATACTAATTTTTATCGTCTTCTTCGCTATCATTTCTTGATGAGTCGCACCAAATGATATCCACTGTGGTCTTCTCCTTAGTTTTTTGTAAAATATGATCATTTTGAAGCAATGAGTTTGTTGTCCTCTAAGCCTTTTTCTTAGCCGTTTGTACAAAATCAGAGGAGCCTTGTGAGTGATTTCAAGCTGTTTTAGATGCCATACCTAACATAAACCTTGTAGTTTTGCTGAATGATTATTTCCGATGACGTATATTCTATCACCTACAAAAATGATACAGTTTACAGCATTAAAATGCTTCTTCATGTAGTATATTGATGACAAGCTCAGAGATTAAGCCTGATAATTATCATTACAGCTTCATATGTTTTCTAAAGTTTTCAGTCATGAGTAGTACATTTTATATTCAAGGAAGTGTTTATTTATTTAAAGATACTTTAGTAATCAGCCATTCTGTCTTTGAAATTTACTTAAACAGTGTTTTATGATTGTTATCGCTTAAGTATGGTTACTATTATCTATTCAGTCATTGCGTTTCAGTGTTTATTTAAGAGATATTTATTTGTGGTTGTGTACAATTATTTTGCACATCGTGATTTATGACGGATTAGAAAGAAGCTTTACCAAAGATGTGGTAACTTAGTTAATCACGTAACATATTTTAATTTCAATAATTTCTCAATAGCGATTATGTAATGATATTTACTGGTGTTCACTTAATAATATTTTCAGTTAAAATCTCAAAATCTATTTAGATTGTTTCCGTAGTTTTAGACATAAAATATTAATGTTAATGTTAGGAAAACAGTTAAACTATCTACACTTTTTGAATGATGGCTTTACTTCTCAACACCACTGTTTATCATATCATAGAGAGAGAGAGATTGGACTAACTCTGTTTACGTGCTAATAAAATTTCCTTAAAGATAATCGTAGTAACGTAAATTAGTGATGAAGAATAAACAGAGTTCATCATCTTGATATGCAGTTTAACTTGATGTTGAATTTACGCATCTTAAAGTTTGACGTCGTGAGATGTGTAGCTTTCTCTATCTGATAGTTTGTATAAAAACATCATCTAAGCAGAAAAGTAAATAGAAAATGAAACTATAGGATTATTATGGGCGACAAAAGAGTCATTTGTCAACTATTTGAACTTCTAATACGAAGTATAGTGGTGCTGTGGTGGTGCTATCACAGCTACTGAATACATTGTTATTCCGTCAATTAATTAACTAACGTTTCTAAATTGACAGTAATCCTTTTAGTAGTATATGCATTTTATTTACATCAGACAACTGGATAAAATAATTTTTTTAACACATAACATTTGATATTTAGACGGAATACAGTGACAAATATTTATCAAGGTATGTATCGCCCTCCCTCTTACTTTCAGATATGAAGACAAAGTTCACAGCTTGTTAGATATTTCTCCAAAGAATGCAGTTATAATAAAACTTCTGTTCCAAGGAGTAAAATAATCATGTAAACACTTTGGAATTATACTGGCAGGTTACTGTTTTCTATAATTCAGAAGGTAATTTTATGAACGACACCTTGCATACAGCCTATCGACGTCTTTGGGCGGATATAATATTTTTGAAATAATTCCAAATGATTAATCTCCTCAAATAGTCCTTTTGAGATCGAGATCTAGAGCAATTCAAGTATGAAGATTGTTTTTTATTGTTGTTGGTGAATCACTTGTTAATTAGACGACTAGACCGAGTTTTAGCTATTCGCAAGACGGCATGTTAGTTGCTACTCGAGAAAATTTACTGTAAAACGGATAAATTAACATGATGACAGAACATTATAAGTAACAAACTGTTTGTTAAACACCAATGATGTCCGCCACAGCACTTCAATTCAATAAATAGTAGGGAAAGCAGGAAATGCATCATTATACTAACTCGTTTATGTAACTAAAATAATTTATCTAACAAAATGACTTTTATTTTAACTGTTTGTTATGAATCAAAGTTGTATAAATAGGCGCTAATGAACAACAAAATGAATTTAAACTTGGTTGAATCTCCAAAACACAAGTTAATGTCACATTACAATTCACAAAGCCAGTCATTGAGAGAATATAATTTCAACATGTCATTTAATGGGTTTGAAAATATTTATTTCCATTGAAATCATAATATGAATATTCTTTTTAACTCTCCATTACCCTATTATATCAAGAAGCTGATTTTTCAGCAATGTAGCTTACATCTATATGGAACTGCCTTTTCTTCGTCTTTAGTTTAAATTTTTTTAATTTTCTCTATTTCGTTTTAAATAATGATCTGTGTTATCCGTGCAACAACGGTACCTTATTACATCTATCAACAACTATACGTTCAAAGTGAATCCACTAGATGCCGAATTTAGTCGGGGTATGAATCAGAATTTCAATATATTGTCTTTTATGACTATGATTCCCTGTCCCTAACAAGACTCAATAAGTACGACAGTATTCGCATATTCGTCCTTTTTCAGATAAATTATGAAAGTTTGTAAACTTTGTGTTATATCTGAAAAATAGATTGGCTTAAAGGAAGGTTTACCCGTTTACAAAATCAAAATTTTCACACACATCTTTACTCACCATTCGTGTAGACAATTTTTAAACCTGGACGCCATTTAACTACGACCCTATTTCAGACTTGAAGCGATCTTTGTGTGATTGAGATTTTTGTCAACATTATATATGCCCATTTATTTCAGAATCTTTCGCTTAAATAATAATATCTTCATTGGGTTCGTATAACTTTCACCAGTTGGGAAAATCAAGCTTCATCTAGTGTTTTATTCATGTGTATCCAACAACTAAAGATGAAACTATTATTTTGGATCATCAGTTCTTTTCAGATATATGGTGTGATGGTAATTATGGCATCTTTTGACTGCCTAGATATATTGTTACGACATATAGTTTTCGAAATGATGCCATTTCTGAATATGACCTTCGGTCTTGGGAGCGAACGCTTAGACTCTAGACCACTGGGCCGGCACACAGTGGTGTCAAGGTCTAACTTTAATCAATCCACGATATTGTATGACCATCTTTCATTGACTTCGATGAGTAACTGCCTTTCATCCTACACGGTTATTACACCTAAAATGAATACGTGTGGTTTGACTAAAGTTTAGTTTAGAGAGACCCAACCTAATTTAGATATTCTGTCAACGGAAGCTTATTATCACGAGTAGTTTTATTTACAGTAATCTTTACTTGACAAAAAATGGAAATATGATCAGGCCATTTTACGAAAACTGTTTCCTCCTTAGACTAAATTTTCGACAAAATCGCTCTGATATAATTGCAAGGTATGGCGATATGTTTTTTATACTCAATCACTAGGCTGAAAAATCCATAAAGTAAGGGTAGACTGATTATGCTAAGTATTGATTTTAGGTGATATAGTTTAACTATTGCTTAGCATGGTAGACAATAATGCTTTATTTTTTAGATTATGCTTCATGTATTTTGTCAGGCTGAAATAGGCAACCAATAGGACGATGAAAAACTATCAGAATGCACACCCACTCATGAAAGGAACGCATACAGACAAAAAATCCATTAATTAATTCCCAAACCCCTAGCTGGAAGAGTATTTATGTAACCCAATATGGCTTGCTCTAGCTACTGTCATGAAAAGGGAGTACTGACTGGTCAAGTAGACCGAGACGGTAAATACTTCTGATCTTTGGTCGATATCATAAAAATGTAACCCTTCAAAAAATGTCTATCCTGTTTTTCTCAGATCAATTTAAAATCTACCACCCAAAGTGTGCTTGCTTAGAGTTGGAAACCTGCCAAGTCATAACGTTTGAATATTTTTTGTACCCTGAAAGTTACCTACACTGGTAAAAAGGACAGATATTGTACACTGCAAGAAAGTATGCAATATTGCAGTGGAGCAGGTGACATACTATTTATTGGATTTCAACACACAAATAATAAACAATTCTAAAGGGCTGGAAGAACATCTTATTATTTACTTCCTTTGTGTATAGAAAAACAACAAGAAGATTGTAATAAAATCCAGTCACTTGGTTCACATGGAAAGGGGATTATTTGAAAATTTTGAAGGAAAATTACCATACAGATCGTATGGATATGAAATATCACTTTGAAGTTGTTCAAAATGGGCTCCTGGTTTAGACTTCATCTGGAATCTGTTGGTTAATTAATATCAGGGATTATAATGCTCTAAGACTAAATCTTTTGGATGCAGAATAATACAACAGGAAATCTCGCCACTTTGATTTACATATGTTAGAGTTCACATGGAAGAGATTCCTGAAGATTTAGGGGATCCAAATAACTCAGTACTTCAGTGAATGATAAATCATTTGAATCATATATAACTATTTAAAACTGGATAATATAGATACATTATGCCAAGCACCTGAAAGGTATCTCATGTTCTGAGTGCTGATAGATCAAAGAATGATCAGATCTATACACTTAAAGTTGAAAAAAAATATTTTACCGTCTTGTTTAACTATCTTTTAGATAAACTGGTATGGAAGTTGATAAGACAGCTTAATTTTCACAGTGAATACTTTTACTGATTATTATTAGGTAAAAGTAAAACTGTATGAAAATTCTTGTTGAAAACGTTGCGCTTAACGTAAAAGGAGACAGAACAAATGAGATTATGATCGATTAAGAAAAAAAAATGTATCTTGTTTCTATTATATTTAAGAGATACTGTTATGTGAAGTTATTCGTCTGACCTTTAGTTATGATTATTGTTAGTATCAATGTTGATAAAAGTAGACGATAAATTACATATACGTGATAATAACACCTACAACATAAGAAAAAAACAAATGCTGCTTTAGTTGTTCTTATGTTAAACTGAAAATATTTTTAATGATAGTGAACGTACTCCAACATTAATATATGTATATTTTATTTACTTTCATTGAGTTTCTGATGTTAGTGAAATAAGATTAATATATGGTAAAAAAACTTTTGGCTTTATAGGATAGCCTATGTTTTTTTAATAATGAATTTAGGATTCTGTTTTTATGACGCTACATCATCTGACATTATTCTCACTTACATAATCCAGTTACACGTCTCGAAGAAGATTTTAAAGTATGGATTCAAGTAATACCTAGTACACTAACCCAACTCATTTATATATAATGAAGTATATCTGATCAGAGCAGTATCTAGAAGACCTTTGAATCTATTAAATTGTGTTAAGCCAAAAATAACAGATATTGATTATTTTAAGATCATTATTATATTCATGAATGAATATTTCGCAAATAAATAATGTCTAAAATTTCCAAGTAAGCATTCAGATATTCGTTAGTTCATTGTCTTTCGCTGTTCGTAAATTCAAGACGTAAACAAGTAGTTTCCAAAGATTTATTTATCGAAAATTCATAAGCCTATCAAGGAAAGGGATATAATATTTACTGTTTACTATGATATAGTCATCTTTTAAGGCTCTCACTAACACTAAGGACCGAAATAATCCTATTACTAGATAGCCTAAGAGTGATCACAGTTATAATAATCCCATTGTATGTCTGCCACGCCATATTGTACAACATAGACCAATGATTATCACGTGGAAGAACTGTGATGTTTATTGACCTAGAACTCGTCACTTGATTGGTCACATTATATTGGCCAATTATTTGACAGTAGTTTGATTTTTATTTTCATTCAGATAATTGAACAAGCATTACGGAATCTTGACGACTGTGAAACTGACGATGAATGAAAAGAAGTCTAAAGAGATGCTTTTTGATCCGAAAGAGGAGCATGATGCTTGCGGTGTGGGCTTCGTAGTTAATACTAAAGGTGTACGCTCAAATAAGGTATGTAGTTTTTGGTTTGTTGTTATCCTATTACAAAAATGTTTAAAATACTGCGAGAGTTTGTTGAATTGTTAATAACCAGCAGAAATTTCTACCTAGTTTTTGAAGAATATGTGATATTTGTCGAGTTTTTTCATCTGAGCTTTGTTATTAGGTATGTGTCGAACGAAACTAATTGTAATAAAGATCATCGTTCATTATTTACTGATAAATTATAATATATAAATCCTATGCTTATTATTAGTTTGTGCTGTATATCAGCAAATGAATCATCCGTTAGAAATCAATTCAACGTCAAAGGTATCTATTCAAATCACGCTAGATAGCTTATTGTGATTCTTAGGGATTAGGCAGTTTGGTGTAAGCTTATTTAAATACAATATTTAGAATGTTACTTTAAAGCCGTATTTGACTCTTATTTACATATCTAAAAACACCTTAATGTGTATAAAGATTGCTTAACTTGGCGCGTATGTAATCTAAAGTACTCTTAGTGTACTTGAAAAGCCAATTCTCTATCTGACTTTATATGTAAATTACAAGATAAAAGTCAATTTATCCAATACATAGTTCTGCTTAGCTGAATTAAAAGCTACTAGTGCTTATTTAGATAATTCGTCGTACTGGATATCATTATTATGATATTTATAAACCTATTGTCAACGACATTGGGGTAAAGGATAGCAATGATATCACAGAAGTTATCAATGTATTATATAAATTAGGTAGGATAGTAGTTAAATTTGACGTTATCGCTTCTTCAGATTGATATTCACAATTTATCTTATTTTAAGAATGAATATTTCATTACATATTGAACAAATAAAATGAAATCTGAATTCAACATACTCAACCCATAGTTATCACTCACTTAAAACGTATTATAAACCTAGTCATTGTAGGAAAATTAAATTGTCAAAAAATATCATATTAACATATTGTTGGTTGTCACGACTACTATGAAAGCATGTTTGAACTTTCTCTGCCTCATTGAATTAAAGAAATATGTGAATGCACATACTCATACATGCATACATACAAATAAAAACAATCTTTAAAATCTAATTACATGTAGTTGTGTTCCAAACGCTAATATAATGAACTTGATAGCCTACTGATTTTCAACACAGTGCAAATATATGCACGTGGTTATATGAAGATTTATGCATGAAGTTCATTGGTGTAGTAACTTATTTCAATTGGTATCCAAAACTAATATGTAAAACAGCGGTATTTCACACAAACATTTGGTTCAATTTCTGACTTTTATTAAAAAAAACTAGTAATATTAATTTTTGTGGTTTGAGTAATGTGTTTAATTATTTCCTCTTTTTTCTACACCATTTTGTAAGATGGTTTGTAAAGATGGTACTCAGTTGAAATTTTTCGTCATTCACTAACATGTACTTATAATAATTCCAGTTATTCTTTGAGTTATGAAAAAAAAATGGACGGTTTGAAAATAAGTATTTCCTATTTGAGAGAGTAATATGTTCTAGCTAATTGTTTTTCTTTTTAGGAAAACGGTCACATTCATCAGTTATGATATTTTATTTATATAATGTATTCTGTAACATTTACAAGTTTAAATGTAACGTCGCCTTCCATAAAGATTTCAGTCTTCTCATGTAGTTGACAGTAAAGTTTCAGTTTTTCTCTGATCATTACTTCTAAATCACTCGTGACATACTTCCACTGCTATTAAGATAAGAACTATATCGTTGTTATGTAATAGCAACACATGCTGATTCCTAGTGTTTTGACTTGTAAATTGTAACAACATAAATGTAACCTAGAATGATGAATTATAACAATATAGTGATTCAACTTTTTGGTACTTTTCGAGAGACGATGAAACCATCAAGAAATTGCACACTGCTGGCTGAAGACCTAGAGAAAAATATCACTCGCTTGCGGTAGAGTAAACTATATCGTCCATTTTTATTTAGGTAATTTATATCGTATCAATAAAATTACTGACATATCTACATCTGTGTTTCTTCGGTAACCTTTCTAATACATTAATGTTGTCTATCTACTTTTGAAAATGAATGATTATTATTTTGTGAAAATAATCCTTCTGACTTGGCATAGTTTATAAGGGTTATTAGTTGCACTAGTTATCTGGGACGGTATTTGGGCAAAATACGAATATAATCTATTTGAATTTCTAAATTCCGACTTTCTTTTACGAATAATGGACAATTTAACAAAAAACACAATATATAAATCGTGGTTCCGTGTATTTTAGGTGTTTTTTATTAGGATGATCATAATCCACAAAAGCTGGTGAACAAAATAAACTTCATTTTTAAACTAAACAATGCGCCTATATTATCTCAGAATTGTAATTTGTGAACACTGAAGAAAATTTAAACAAATGAAGGAATAGTTCAGAAAACAATTACTGTTTAAGTAAACTGATGCCTTGGTTTACATAGATATCCTCTGTGAAACGACGTCATGTCGATAAAATGAACTTGTTCGTCTGAGATAAAAGAAAACATGAAACTGAAGTTTGAAATGTTTATAGTAGCATGTGTAACTGACTGATTAAGAAATTGACGTCATTGAGAGGTTCATGTATTTATTTTGAAGTAGATTGTTGCGCGAGATCTCGGAGTACATTATTTTTTTATTATGAGAGATTTTCTGGTTGATGATAATATTTAAATAAAGTATCTCCAATAATATAACTCATAATCAATCTAGTCAGTAGAGTTGACTGAAAGTACTGATTAACTGGTAAAAGAAACCTTTAAGATTTTCTCATCTTCTCCATTCAATAATTTGAGCTGATGGTTAACAGTGTCTCCTAAACTTATCACAATTTTCAAAAATGATATTTATTATGATTGATTTTAAGTTCATCTCTGATCTTCATGGATTATATATTGATAAGTTTATTATAAAAACTAACTGGTAGTTATCATTAGAAAGAGAAGTAGATCCTGGAAATGTATTTTGTTTTAGTTACCGGAATCCCAAAGTTTAGTTACCTCGGAATGTAGTATTTATCATACAAGTTAGATCTGGTACATTAAAGAGAAAGTAAAAGATGTCTATGCAGATTTCAAGTAGTATGAATAATTAATAAAGCAGTTTGTTTAGTTTGTTTTAGATCTTCCAGAAATGCGATGACTTTATAAATAAAATGTAGTTTTTGAGAGATGAATGTAAAATATCATTCACATTTCTGAATGTGATTCTCACCAGTCGGAAAATATGAAAACAGGTTTCCTTTCCTAGTTCTAATCTCCTCGAAACAATGACGTGAAGCCCCTAAGTTTCTTTTTTTTTCACGAAACCACCTGAATTAGCTAACACTCTTCACGAAGATACAAAACAAATCAACCTAGATGGAATAACTTTGGCAATTTATGACGTAATTAGAGAGAATATATGGTCATCCTTACAAATAAGGGAGGTCAACTAAAAAAATTCGACCAATGATTATACAAAATTGTAATAACCTATTTTTGACAGCAGTTTCGATAAATAGTATTTATATCAATAAAAAATTCTTATGAAGAGTTAAAACCTGAACAACTAAGTGACATTTTGAAATAGTTGTATAGAGTTTAATCAATAATAATATAACTAACGTGGGTCCTAAATCACAAGTAAACCGAATGTGGAATTTAATAATGAATTAATTAAAATCTTATTGGTGATAATGGTAGACGTTCACAAGATAGATAAGATAAAAAGGACAGAATATCGAGAATTATCACAGATTAACGCTCAATCACTAGGACTGTACCAGATGAATGATAACTTTAGTTTACATTTCTGTCTCAGTAAGATAAGATGATTGCTCGCTTTATGTTTATTCATCATTGAGCAAAATCTTCTTCGATTCACAAAATGATTTGTATTGACAATGCATTTACATATGGCACTTGTAAATAGCCTAGGATACTGTTTTAAGGTGAGTTCGGAGGTTGATTTAGATAACACTTCCAGGTTTTCTGATGTATGTAATACTGTAACTATATGCAAATGAGTAAACACAAGTGGATAGAAGTAAACGAGACTACGTGCTTAGGTTAAACTCCATTAGTCTGTTTTGAGTTTTATGCACATAATTAGAATTGGACCAGTGTACCTCAGTGAAATTATAACCCATAATCAACTGCTGTACTTTTAGCTAAAGTTATGTTTTTAACAGGGCGTTCAAAGACACATTGTTCCTTGGCACGGTAGATGATACTATATGTTCACTTTTTAACGTAAGATCTTTATTATAAACGCTGTTAGATGACCATTTTTCCGTTGATTATTCCCGCTTTATTTGCTAGAAATCTCAGTTGCCATTAGAAAATCGTTTCGAAGGTACTCATTTCATGTGGAATCTAACAGAAGCATCTAAGCAGTTCTATGGTTGTTTGAACGTATGACTAGATGATCTTCACTTAGTTGACATTAAAATGTAAGAAAATTATACTCAGAAGTATACGATAACGTAAATAATATAGTTTAATGAGGAATTACTTTTCCGGAGAAAGGTTCGAAAATTGTTAAATGAATTCATGAATGGGTTCATTAACTAATTTTATATTCAGCGGCATCATTGAACGAATATATGATATAACGTGTACAGTAAATAGTGAGATAAAAAATTTATTCAATAACTGTAAGCTTGCATCTTAGAGTTCCAATTTAAAGAAAGCTTTAAACTATAATTAAGGTTATTGTATTTAGGTTATTATTTGGTTATTAATTATAAAGTTTTCATACCATCTATTTTGCCGCCATGATTTTAATATACTGAAAACAATATGTACTTTTATTATATTTGGTCGATTATGGATTGAAGCCTTTGCATAAATCTTCAATTTTGGTTAATATTAAAAATAAATACATAAGTCTACTGCCTTCATTGTATTAAATACGTTTGGTGAAAAAATATTTCTATGCGCTGTTAGGTTGTTATGGAATTTTGTAAGGGTCATACTATAACAATAATGAACATAATATGTGCGTGCTTATTGATCGAATTTCCGCTAATATGATGATTATTATGACGTTCTTTCTCTTGTTTTTTTTTGTTTGCTTTATTATCACTGTGACCTATATTTTTGATGCAAGTTCATGGCATGTCTGAATAATATTGTGTGAATATATTCACTGTTTATAATATCAGATAGCACTATGAACTTGCACCAAATAATCTCTCCCTCTCTCTCTGTTCTTCTAAATGTCTATAGTTTTCATTGTAACTTATTGAACTGACTTTTTGTATTGATTTTGTTAAATTATGCTTATGTTTGAAGTTATATATGTAGAACTATCTTGAGGTAGGTATCTTACTAGAAAAAACCTCCACAAGACCCCTTCTGATAATAATCATCTGCTCACTAGTGACTGACTTCAAGGGGCATTTCCTGGAGTTCTAGTGAGAAGACGTTGCCAGTGGAGTTCAAACGGGTATTTTGTGAGATATCAACTCACTGAAGACAATGGTGTACGGTGGCGCAACTTCGTGGATTGGTTGAAGTTAGACATTAACACCATCGGATGCTGTCTCAGTGGTTTAATGGTTAAGCGCTCGTGCTTGAGACTGATAGGTCCTGGGTTCGAATATTGTAGGGGGCGGGATCGTGGATGCGCACCGCTGAGGAGTCCCATACTAGGATGAAACGGCTGTCCAGTGCTTCCATGTTTTCCATGGTGGTCTAGCTTCAATTAACTCATGATTTCAACCATTTTTTGACTGAAATGATCGTATTTCCGCCCTAACGATTACAATTATGTAACTTTAGTTATTAAAATCTGAGAACCTAATAGATTTTTGGACGTAAGACACTTCGGACATATTTTACCAAATGAATAATGATGTTTTATTTATCTTTAGTCAGGTTGCCAGCTATTGGATTGGTAGAAATGCTTGAATGTAAGCGTTCCTACAGAAGTGGATTTGTTGTCCATGAAATGTGAAACAAATCAAAATATTTTGTTATGAAATACTCAGTTAGTCCTCTTAATATTTAATTTGACCAATTGGGTGCTTTGTGACAGGAGTGAGATTCATGAACTCAGTCAAATAAGAAAAGTTCCTTTAGTATTATTTGCACAAGATTATTGACATCATTGATAATCTCTAGGCATTTTGGAATGTCGTTTTTATACCTAAAGTCCTACTGCCCAAAGTACATGCTCAATAATCAGGATGATTAATAATGATTTGCATTAACCCTTTGGCAATAATACACATCCATTTATTAATTGAGAATACTGGAAGGTTAGATAAAGGAAATGCGTAAACTTGTTGATTCATTCAATCCCGTAATCATAACTTATTTTGAAATACTTTGAAAGCAGCTGGAATTCTTAAACACTTTATCATACCAAGTACAAAAATCAACTCTAAAAGTCATTTGATTAAACAGTTTGTCTTTGACCAACTATTGAACTATAAAATAGATCATTCAAACTCACAGATTTATCTAAATTTAAATCTTCATACTACACTCAATAAGTCTGTATTATAGAGAATGAAGATAATAATGTTCAGAACCGAGTATTTATAAATCATGGTTTTTGAGAGTGATAATCACTTGATTAAATTAGGTTTAATCAAGTAAAACCTTTTACTGACCCCGGTGTCTTCTTTTTGTTGTTGTTGTTATTGAAAATAATCCTGGTTCCAAGCGTTCTATGTTCAGTCCTTTCAGTGGACTAGTGCCATCAAAAATGTCGTTTTTCACATAATTTTATGACATAAATTATTAGTAATGTGTTTCCTCCATAAGATGGTGATCACGACTGGGTGTTAATAGAGTCAAAAGTATTATATCTATTAGTAAACCGTAAAACCTCAGTATTTCATTTTGGAATATGCTTAATCAAAAGATGAATGAACTGTTATTTAAGTTGTAGTTAACACACAAGTCATATATCAAGTCGAACTCACTATGACTATGTATCAGCTCAAATTGCTATATTCTACTTTTTAAAAAAAATAAGAAGGTGGACATGAAACAAGTCTTAATATTCGTATAGTTGTAGTGAAAACTGAACATACAAAATATATTTCACAGTCATCAATTAATCTTCTGACTTTTTTCGTAAATCAATATCACCATTACTTATTTCGTAGTTCCTCCATAACTAACCAATGCCTTGAATATACTTGTTGGCACCTCACACATGTCATTTGTCTACTAAAATAAACTTTTAGAGAGGAAACTGTTATTAACTATACTGATATCTGTATTGGTGAACGGATCCGTTGCATACGTTATAGGTGGAGTAAATTGAGAAAAACCATGCAAAGTTTCCCGTCAATTCAGATATTTCATCAACTGTCAACCTGGCAGGAATAATAAATCTTCTAGTGTGACTGAACTAATCAGTGTCCTAAATTACTTCACATTGTACGATTTGACTTGGTTTCACGCAGATTAGTCCTAAAACAACATTTTAAATTTATGATAAACGAAGAGCAATGTAAGCACCGACTAATTTTTACTGAATCTTTTTAACTGCTTTTAACTAAGATTATTTTATGCGTCTAATCCGAAATGATTCAATAAATACAAACATCAGATCGAAAACTAATCACTGATCACCGCCAGCCACATAGAATAGTAAAGTAATCAAACAGTCGGATGATACTATTTGGTTAAATCCAAATTCTTTGTTTCCTTTTCCTTCTGACCCGATATTAGGTATTGAAGGATGCCAAAGTCATGCTTGAACGTATGGATCATCGAGGGGCTTGTGCATGCGATGAGGATACTGGGGATGGGTCGGGTGTAATGACATCTATACCATATGAAATATATTTGGAGTACGCACGGTAAGTCCTTTCATTCTTTGTACAATGTGTATAGTTAATTATGATACTCAACCAAAATATGGGAATGTTGTTTTAAGCTTACCAACTAAATAATCAGACAAATATGATTAGTTACTTGGAACCAGTGGGTTATTGAGTAGATATTCAGTAAATATCCTTAGAAAGACTCCTTCAAAGTATTTTTAAACTATTAACTGATACGAAACTAATACTCCAGAGAAAATAACACTGAGACACCATATTGAAATGACTCTTCTCAGTTAACGTGATTACCTGAAGAAATAGTTGTTTGGAGCTACTCTTTAATTTCAGTTAACCATATAAAGAAGAAAAATAAACCACTTTATGAAAGTGACTTTCTTAAGCTTAAGATCCTGTATCCTAGAGTTATATTTAGTTTCCAGATAAACTATCGGAGCATCCTAAAGATAAAAATTCGTAAATTCTGTCATCAACAGAGTAGAACAAAAAATATCACCGAACAGTTACGGCATCAAACGACTGTTTCTCAAGTCGTTAGTTGTTTTCTAATTAGTTCTATATTTATTCATACAATTAGTTTTCATTTATCTCTACTTACTTTCCTGAAGCAAACACCCAATCATTGATTAAAATAATTTTCTAATTCTAAATAAAACATCAATCATTGAAATGCCTATTGAAAGTTTTATTATTTTCTAAAGGAACTTTATGGGACAGGAAATGATTTCATTTGTATAAAAAGGTTTAAAAAGTAAATACTAAGGGGAAAAGAATTTCATGACCGTATTATTTTTATTATTTATCTGAATAAACAAAAAGAAAATGAAAACTACTTCTTGTACATGGATAATATTACCCAGCATTTGAGTGTTTCTAAATTTTTATCTGGAAAGAGAATCTGTCGAAAAATTATAATAACTTAACAATAATCAATTTATCATTGTCTTGTTGACTACGTTAATCGAAGGCTTCGGCTTCAGTCACTGAAAATTTACAGATCATAAGATTCTGAAGACATCTAAAGTATAAGTAGAAGTATTGCTAAATGATTCATGAATTTAACTACTCATTTTACCGATAGAAAATAAGCATTCAAAACACAGCTCATCTTGAAAATATTTTAATCAGAAAAACAGTGAAAAATATGCATTATGTGGAGTAGGAACTAAAGATGGTTTTTCGGAGGTAAAATAAAATTCCCTCACTGGTCATAGCCAAATATAAATATTATTCCTAAAACTAGAGTCATACTTTTAAGGATCAAATGTCCTACAAAAATGCTTTCTTGTTATTTCAAATCAGATAGAAAACTGAGAATAACGTTCAACCAACTACGGTTTAAATTTATTATTCACATCCCTCAGTGCATTAATGAGGAATTTTTCACATTTTTCCCTTTAGAGCTCCACAGACTTGTCAGCCGAATACTTATGTCTATATGCATATATAGGGTAAGACAGGACATAGCCGGACAGAACTCACGTAGGGAAGCACTAATTAGTCTAGCTACACTTTGTAAGTTGTAAACTTCTATTAAACCATAGGGGCAAGGATTATATTTTGATCTTCGAATCCCGAATAATTAAATAAATATGGAACTTGTTTAGATATTAGAAACAGTACAAACTGACAATATCTTTTTCTAGACGAGATGATGTAAGGTACATTAATGAGTAAAAAATCAATCATTTTAGAAAACGGATAATTTGTATACAAAAGAGAATATTTCTATTGTAATCTGCTGAAGATCTTGTGAATCCCGAATTTTTAAGATATATCTTCAGTTGCTGTATTTTCAACATTCATCATTTCTAGAATAGATACTTATCAACAGAAATGAAGTTGAGAAAATGGAAAACCCTATATTGTTCATACGATCAACAGTAATCCAAATAAAAGTAATTAAAATTTACAGACAAGCATTTGAAAGTGACAACTACCAACAGGCTTTACATTTAACTTACTGTACTATATGAAGTTGAAAGGAAGTTTCTGTACCTTGAAGTTTATTTTTCTTCAAAAAAATTCTTCCAGTAATCAAAACCACAATCACCCTTCATACTTTATAACGGGAGCCAGATAGAACACAAACAAATGAGATGTTTATTAAATAATTTCAGTTAAATTGTTTTTGTCATTTGCAGTAAATCTTTTATTATCTTATGTAAATGACAGTTGGTTATTGTTAAAATATACAGAAAAAAGAAATATAGGTCAGAAGAAAATGAATCATCGAAATCCACACATATAAACCCTATGGGCTTTAACTAGGAAATACTGACCAACAAATACAATATTTTAAATTTATATGATACATGATTTACCAGTGACTGAGGAAATAGAACGGCTAGCTAACGTTCATTTTGAATTAGACATTTAAATCGAAGTGATGCAAAGAATATAAAAGTGAGACAAACACAAATTTTGTTGTCTTATCGAAATCGCTTGTCCTACAGTGTTTAGGGACTTAACATCAATGACACTTCTTGATAGACTTAAAGATTTCTCACCATTTGCACTTCGAGCAATCGAAAAAATTACGATACGACTGGAGCTTCGTTGTATGGTTAGTTGTGTTCATGATCACACATAATCTTTCTATTTCAAAAAGCCCTGGAATAAATATCGATTTCCCGTCAGAAAAAACTGTATGCCTGATACACTTTTTTGGTTTTACTGAATCTCAGCTTAACATGAAAGTAGCGTTTGCATTTTGTTCTTCTATGGGGATTTGTACAAAAAGTTACTGGTTCACTTTAACGTAGTTTTCGCAAGGATGGAAAAACAGGAAGCTTAAATCTCAACACAAAATGTGTTGTGTTGAAAATAATTTCTTGATAATTGATTTTATTGAAAGGCTAACCTGAATCACATTCAACATCATGCTGTTGATACAAAACGCTATTATATGAGCTACGAGTTTCAACTTCCGCTACAGTTTCCGATTGCTCTTAATAAAGAAAATTGCTCTTTATTTTCATATATTAACATTTTTACAAACATACAATAAATGTGTCCCACTTTCTAGTATTATTACCCCATCGACATTTATTTTTACTCATTGTGCTTTTGTGATTAGCGTTTTGTTGTGAGACGTCTTTAGTTCAATGTTATAGTTTTGTATTTGTATTATTTGTTTTATTTCTCATCAATCAAAATGAGACTATTGTAAACTGTTATCTTTTTCTAGTGAGGCAAATGTTGTTTTACCACCACTGGGTCGTTTCGCTACTGGTATCATCTTTATACACGATCGCACTACTACAATTCCTGATCTTATGCAACAGTTTTCAAAAATAACGGAGGAGTGTGACTTAAAAGTAAGTTCTTTTGAATCTTTAGTTAGGCTAAGATTTTTTAATAAAACCATCTTAAATCGTATTTGAATTCTAATGTTGTACAAATGATTATTTCCGTATTGACACGCCTAATTGCAATTCATGAGATTTAATACAAACAGTAAATCAATTATATGTTGAAATAGACTACTATCAAAAAGTGTGACTAACATAATGGAGAAAGCGAGTAAGAAATTAAATCATTCCTGTTTTGTAACTTTCCATGTTTTTAATCCACCAAAATAACCCACAGAATTCTCATTGACGTCTTTTCTGTTAATTCGTTGTATATTTTTAAAAGCTTATTTCAGCGTACTGTAGTTTGATCTTTGTTATCACTGTATTTATTGATCACATAGATTATCACACATTATCACAGACTTTCAGTATTTCAAACATGCTTCATAATATAAACATTTGCATATATGTCGGGAGTTAACATTTTAACGACTATCTGTGTAGAAAATGCAATCGAAATAGGTGAACACTGTCATGAACCTAGTGGTGTGACAAGAAACATCTTAGTAACTAAAATATTTTCGTTAGATTTATTCGTAATCTGATAAAAAATCTTTCTAATCGCTGGGTAGTTATTTTACCATTTGGATCTAGTTTCATTTATGCGTAGAAGTATAACATACTGACGTCCCTGAACCAACCAGTCAGAATTGGAACAATGCTTCATGTATTTTGCGCAAAATTTAAAACGAAGTGATAGATAATATGTGTTGTTATTAACGAAGTAAAAATTGGGAATATTTGGTTCCTGAAATGCTTGAAATCAATAAAAATATGTATTATGCAACCAAAAGGTGAATTTTAGATGTTATTTAAGCTGAAATACAAAAAATACCTGCTCCCAAGTTAGATTCCCAAACTGCTTGTTTTGGGGAAGCCGCTATGAAAAAATTTGGGTAAATGGCATAAAAACCCCAAAATTCCCCAGATCTAGGGAAAATCCCCAAAATAGGAAGATTGGGTTGTGCGTTAAACTACTTCCTATGGTTTATTGCGTAATCAAGAGTGTCCAATAAAGCTAGATAATACTCTTCTTTTCTTACTTTTACTCTAAATCTTAACCCTAAGTTTCTCAAGTTTGTAAACAGAAGGGTGGCCAAATATCGAATTATGACAGGTCAGCTCATGCTGAAAACCCCGACCACAACCAAAATCTCTCAATTTTAGAGAAATATTGGGGATTGCTCCAAAATAGGGAGATTGGGTAATTTATAAACCTGACGCAAAAATTCAGTTCAGCTCTCAACACCTACACTTCATCATTTTAAATTATAACTTATGTCAGTTTGTAAAGAAAACTGTAAGGGATCATAAGCCTAACTAACAACACTAGCTGTACATTATATATATATATATATATATATATATATATATATATATATATATATATATATATGCAGTTTATTAGAGAATTGAATAGAAACCATTCTTTTGTGAAATTATTACCCTATTCTAAGTTGAGTTCAACGCTCTACATATTTTTATAATTTTTGAAACGCTCTAAGACCTTTTCATTTATTTATGATACTAGTGACGTATTCTGAAGTGGATCTTCTATAACCTTCTATAATGATTAGATTTCTGATTTTACTCTTTATCTTTTATAATATTCCGATTAATATGCTCCTGCAATTTAAATATGTTAGACACACTTGTTTTTCCTATTCAGTTAGTTTTCAAAAGAAATGATGCTGTTAAAATATTTGTAGCAGAAAACCTATGGTCTGGAGTATAAATCCCTTGCTATACCAACTTAACTACTCGAATATTTTGTTTAACACTGTGTCCCTTATTGCTTAAGCGGTCCTTCCAAAATTTCACAGTAACGCCTAATAATGACATTTTCCATGTCATAGTTCAACTTGACAAATTGCACTGTAAATGAGTGAATAAAATAAACTTACTCAAAGAACACCGTAAATTTAAAAAAAAACCCACTACATTCTAATCCTAAATGTACTCCGATCAACGGTGGACTTGACAAACGTCTAATCAGTACCTCTGGCGTAAAGGTTTCCTTCTCACAACAATAACTAGTTAAAAACACTAAATAGGCCAATATGTTCATATTGGTCTACGTTTACTTTTTTATAAACTTTAAATTTGCTTCTACATTTTGGCCTCAAATAATATTTTTACCAGTATTGGGATAAGTTGAAACGGCCTTCCAGTGCTTCCAGGTTTTCCATGGTGGTTTAACTTCAATTGACTCGTGAATTCAACTATTGAAATGTCTCCATAAATACAGTGAGTAAAAGTGAAGTTCTTGAAACCAAAAAACTCAGTAAGAATCATTCACTTGACCAAAAGAAATGGATTGACAGAAAGTTTCTACTCATTGAATCAATCAGGTTTCTTTGGTTCAATAGATACTAACGAACTATAAGAGAAGAACGTCTTTTTTTCGGAGCCTCAATAAAGATGATGTTGATGATATGTTGTCTTTATGGTTAACGAGTTTAATTCCAACTTCAAAAAAGAAAATTAGGCTTCATTACTAAATAGTCCATGTATTCCGATTTATACTCTTATCTGTTAGCCTGTGCATATCAATTGACTGACCAAGTAATTAAAAAAAAAACTTTTCATCATAAAATATAATAAGCCACGAAAATGTAAAACTTAACCTTGTAACTGAAAGTAATAATAAATAAAATACAAGAATCCTTAACTTGATGTCACTTGCTTCATTATTATTTCTTATAGTTTAGAATTTAAATTGAGCAGCAATAATCAAAAGCTTGTTTGTGACCATAATGAAATAAACCCGCTTTTACACTAATCCCTTTCACATGTTTTTTTAACTGCATCATGTGTTAAAATTGCAATATTATATTTTACTGAATATTTCGATAATGCAATGAGAAGACCTTTAACACTCGTCAACTAAGGCTGTCTTCTTACAAACATTTTAGTAATCTGATTAATTTCGATAATGCAATGAGAAGATGAAAGTTATCTGAATTATGTGATATATTAGCGCAATATATTTCGAACAATCTGATCACACATATACTTGTTAAGACATTTTTATATGAAAATTAAAAGGTCAACTAGACAGATTAGAGGTGAGCTGTAACAAAGAAAATTAAAGTGCACAAACACAATAAGATAACCACTCTGGATAATAAATCAGCATTAACAGGGTAGTTTAAAGGTAAGAACAACCAGGTTTGTTGTGAGATAGGAACTCACTGAAGACAATGGTGTACGGTGGCGCAACTTCGTGGATTGGTTGAAGTTAGACATTAACACCGTTGGATGCCGGCTCAGTGGTCTAATGGTTAAGTGCTCGCGCGCGAAACCAGTAGGTCCTGGGTTCGAATCCCGCGAGGTGCGGGGTCGTGGATGCGCACTGCTGAGGAGTCCCATACTAGGACGAAACGGCCGTCCAGTGCTTTCAGTTTTCCCATGGTGGTCTAGCTTCAATTGACTTATGATTTCAACTTGTGTAAGAACAAATTGTTTTTGAACACATAAGTGGGGTTTCAGTTTCCGTGTAGCCTAGGCTTCGGTAAACCATAGTATACGTTCTTGAAGGCTTTGTACAAAACTACAAAGGCTGACTTGATATCAACCTTATGACCAATCTCAGCCAAATATTTCGCAATGGTGGAAGATGTCTGTGATCTCACTTGACTATTGGGATTCATTTGTCTTTGCAGCCATTTAGACATGTGTTACACCACCCTCAATTGCAGATCACGATTGCTCCTCCCTGTGTACGCGTTCCCGCACTTACATGCAAATTGATAGACGCAATGGAATGTGGCACAACCACTTACGTTCTGTTTAAGTTTTTGGTGAAAAATAGACCTTGTCTTTTCAATATAAAAATGTCTTAACAAATATATATGTGATCAGATTGTTCGAAATGTATTGCGGAAATACATCACATAATTCTGATAACCTTCGTCTTCTCATTGCATTATCGAAATTTATCAAAGGGGCTAATTGTTTTAGATTAACTGAATATGTTGAGTGGACATAGTTACCGTTATTTTAAAGGTACAAAATTCCAATAAAACCCACGGTCAACATATAAGTAGATTAGAATGGCATAGTTATAATAATTATTAACGTTTTTGATGAGACTTTTCAATGAACTCGCTAAAGTGTTATTTATTCTGGACATATGTATGGTACTGATTTGTAGTCATCGGGGTGTCTCACATAGTATATTTTACGTTCCACAAATAACTACATATAATAGAAGCAGCAGTAACAGTAATCATACTGAGTTCTTTCTTGAAGTTTTGATTATGGGCTTCATATCCTTTTTTTGTATATCAGATTAAAACCCATCAGTTTATTCGATTATTTGAAACACAATATATCAGAAGAGAAAGACGAAAGAAAATAAACTTTATTTCAAACAATGATTTGATGTAAACGAGCTTTGGTGAAGCATTATTAAATTGAAGGTCGGTAAAAGTGTGGAGTGTGCTACTGATGTCGACAGATATATGTAGTATGTATCATCATTCGAAAGTGGAATACCTGGCAGCAGAAGGCTAAGAAGATCGAAGAAAAGAGAACGAGAACAGAATTATTGCTGTGGAAATCGAAGAACAATGAAGTCTGAGACAATTGATTGACATTTACAAAAAGGAACAGTCAAGTTTGAGACAATTGATTGACATTTTGCCAACTAAGTATTTACTGTATGGTTCTCAGATTTTACTAAGATGTTCTGTAATTTTGTGTTGTCCCCATTTGTATCTTCGTTCACTACAAAAGGGGTAGAAAAATTATTTATGCAAATATAAAACCCTTTTAGTAAATTTTTCTTCACTGTAGCTTCTGTCATTGTTCTGTGCAGGAAAAGTTCTCGAGATGGTTTTATTTTATCAATATTCTCTAATGTACACAACCAAGAAATTGGTGATCACTTTGGGCAACATATTATCTTGTCGTTGAGTCACTAAATTTAGAATTTGTAAGGCTAATCAGTAACGCTTTTCAACTTTTTCTAATCAGAAAGTAACATTAATCTACTGATTTTCATGTAATAAACAATGTATTTATATTGTTTACTAAGTAGTTCTTCGTTCACATCACTTCCAAATTTAAAAAGGCTGATATATGAATAAATTCAAGTTAACGGGAATGTTTACCATTTATTTATCATAGAATAGGTATGAAAGATTTGTCTTTGGGTATAATAATTGATTTGAATAATAGAACAAAGTAACACAGCATAGTTGAAAGATTTTTAATTGTTATGTTTATTCTGAAATAAAAGGTCAACTTTCCGTCCGCATTTGAAAATGCTGTTAAATAATTTCATTTAAATAATGTGATATGTACTTTATTCCAAGCTCTCTCTTGATTGGTTGTTTTTGTCCCTTCCACATACAAATAAACTCCCAGATTATGAATAAATTTGAATCTAAGCGGATACAAATCATTAGAAGGAAACAAAACAATGAAACTAGGACTATGAGGTAAACCCAAATCCTCAGTATTGAATAAAGCATTGAAATAAATTACTGTGTAGGGAGATGAGTGAACGAGTGAATAGCTTATTCAGCATAATTATATTCAAAAGGGAGGGGAAGATGCAGAGAAGGAGAAAGATGGAACAAAACAGAGGTCTCTTTACTTTATAAGCGTTATTGAACCGAAAAATTTCAATATTCATAGGCTGACGATTTTTTATAGAGCTAACAAGATATATTGTCTTCATGAACCTCAAATGGCTTGGGAATAAATGTTGCACCCCATAAATGATGGGACTCATTAAAGGCAAAAAATAATTTGACCTTTTTGAACTTGAGTTTTTTTTCAGACAGTGCAAATCGCAGGTAAAAGTTTGACTACATCAGAAGTGCTAATTGGACCAAACCAACACAACAATAATAAATAAAGACACTAACTACTAAATTCAGTTTTATTGCTGTTATATGACTGTTTTCGATAGTAAACAGTTTTTCAGAGATGAATGGTGATTCTGATTCTGATATTAATTTTTATATGTGGCATATGATATTGAGTCACTCTTGATCATTGTGAAATACCAATACATAAAAAGAAATTTATTGCTAGATGATAGGTAAGTTACTCCTAGAATATTACAAGGAACGTGATAATTGACTCTACGACTACTATTTTGAAGGAAACGAGAAGTCAGAGTTGTAAAGAGTTGATGAATAGACCAATAACAAACGTCCTTCGTTCGATGTTACTCTCACGATTTATTTATCGTATTCATAAAAGTTCTTTACCTAGGTAACTTAAACTCATAAGTTGATTTTTGTATGTAGTAAAGAGAACATCTACAGTCTCTACCAAAAATGTGAAGAAAGTCAAATACTGTGCGTTAAATAACCTTGATATACAATAACAGCCTCTGATTTTATTGTAAAGGCAAATTGTTGAACGAATAAGTTATAAGATAACTTTCACGGTTATTTTGTACGTCTATTTTTTTCGATACATATACATAACTGTGATTTATATAGGGTGCATTAATCTACCTGGTTGTTGCCTATCATTAACCTACATCTAATAACATTAACTAATTTACTTTAGGCATACAATGGTAATCTATAAACGATCCATCTTTTGTTTCCTCATTCTTTGAAGATTGATTACCACCTGAACCATTCATCATTTATTGGTCTACTTTACTTCTTTTATATTAACAGTGATAGATGCAGTAAATTAGTTATCTGTAAACTACTACAATTTCTTCTTACGTTAACTTATTATGGACATACTGTTGGGAAACGTCCATCATTTCTCAAATTTACATAATTCAGTTAAGAATCAATGTTCGTGATCTCATTACCTCGATCCTTCAATCATATGAAGGTATGGAAATCCAGAATGTAGCGAAGTTACTAAAATCCATCGGAATTTGCTTGAAATATATTTCGAACACATCCTAAGTATGTTAGTAATGTACTATTTAACCAAAATAACTACGGATTGTAGATTCTTTGGACTTTGAACACTTTCCTCATAAATTTCAAAAGCTAGCTAATGTTTTTCAATTTTCTTCTTACATTCAGTCTTAAATTTCCTGGAAAACGTCCCCATTATTAAGAAATTCACCACCGTTATTATTACTTTCAGTTGATCTGATAAATCCCAGTGATAACCTTTATTAGTCTCTCCAGACTCACTATCCGGCCGTCCTAAATTTCTGTCTATCAAAGCAAATAAAAATAGTTTGGCCTTTGAAAGGATAACGTCTTATTAAGTTACCGTTTACTTATTCTTTATTAAGAAATTAGGAACAAAATATCACGTACAAAATTCTCAGTAAAAATCATCACCATTACATATTTGGATTCAATTCATCATAAGTCTCCAATGTTCAAAAGAGTAAACACATACTTGAACTACAAAGTGGGAAAAAGTGAATGTTTTTTACACTTCAATTTTTTTAATTTATTTTGTATAACTTCAAAAAATATTCTGAGTTATAAGACTAGATCGAATCGTGGTTGTGGTTGGATCGTTCTGTGAATTTGGGTAGATAAATATTTCTGCAAAGAAAACAAACTAATGTACTATCCAGGAATATATATATATATATGGATTGGTTTTCACTTAAACTAAGCTAGAATCAGTATATTTTTAACATTTTATCCTTTCAACTACCGTCTAATTTTATGTTCTTTACTCTTAAGCTTTTATTCTGGCGTATGGTGAATGTGAACAAAAACTGTATTGGTATAGTAGCGCATTCCGAGGAACCAATTATTGTTCAAGTAAGACAGAATCTTTTAAAATAATCAGTAGAATTATTTTACATAATGATCGTTGATTACCATTTAATCATTTATTTTATAAACGTTCGTTATTATTATTATTATTATTCGTATATTTACCTTTCTTATTAGCTCAACCCTTTTGCTGAATATTTGTTGTTTGTCACAGATATTGGACATGTTTACTATTTTTACGCTGATAAAATTCATTATGATTTGACATAAATCCTCCAAAATACATAGATTCCTTTTACAGTAAAACTGTCAATGTTAGTTAGTTGCTTTAGTTTCCCAAACAACTTAAATTTGTTTATCCTCATTTAGTGTTTAATAAAAGTAAACAAAATGGTTGGTAATTATTTTCGTAAATTTATTAAAATAAGCTTGATTTTCAATTTCCCGTAAATCCCGGCGTATGCTTTAGTTATTTCTATCTGACGTTTATTCTTAAAGATTGAAAACATTAATGAATTTGCTGTGAATCTCAAGTAAAGTTTAAAGCCACAGGTGTAGTACGTCATAATCGATAGTTCAACATTGAAACAAACCATGATTGTCTGTGATGCAAGTAAGAACTGTGAAACTAAAAGTCTTGTAGTTTTGTGACTGAATTACATATATAGTTAGAAAATATCTTCATTTTAACTTGTTAGATTATTTTTAGATCACCTTGAGTAACACCAACACTCACTGATTTAAGAGGGGACAACTCTCACTATGTTTGGTCGATTTGATTTAAATTTATCACAGTTAACGGTGCAGTATAAATTTGAATAAATGCGATTATGTTAAACTGTATTGATACACATAAATTAATTTTTCAGTACTTGAAAGTTTAGTTTAATTTAGTTTATTTCCGAGACCATGAGAATAATAAGCTGAATTCTTTAAATGTTCTTTGAGTGGTGATACCTAACAAAATATACAGTTTCTACTGACTATGTAAATAGTTGAACTGCGTTAATTCTGGAGCTCGTTTTTTAATAGACGGTTCTTTATAGAATAATATGAACTTGCAGTGTAATACAGTAAAAGCCCATTTGGCAGAACTGAAGCGAACTAACTAAAAAAAGACTAGGTCATAAACTAGAGTACATTGTATACAACAATGGAGAAATTGGGTCATCGAAAGTTTAACATACAGCTTACTTGCTTGCTTTTGCTGTTACAATAATTGAAGTTTTAGACGTGCTCGATTTATTGAACTACGAAACGTGATGATATCCCTAGACGGATTTCTAATTAAATATACTGGTCAGACTGTTTTTTCTAAGTAAAATCATAGTCTGATCAACATTAGACCACCACTGAAAACCTGGAAGCGCCGAACATCCGTTTCGTCTTAGTATGATACTCCTCAAGAGTGCAAATTCACGATCCCAAACATGAAGTTCGAACTCGGGGCCTTCGGACTCGCGTGCGAACGCCCAACCTCTAGACCAATGAGCCGGCTCCCATTGGTGTTAATCTCTAACTTTAACTACTCCACGATTTTTCAATGGTGGTCTAACATTGACCGGTTCATGATCTCAATTGAAATTCAACAATCTCCACAAACCTATACTGATAATTCAATTTTATCGAAAATATTTTAAAGAAATATGATACAAATCTAAAGATTGGAATTCATATTTTCTTCGTCAATCACTTTGATCATAGTTGTACATCTTATCCAGAACAAGCTCTGCCTAAATTCTGTAGAGCATTAAATATTATTCTTAACACTGATATTTACATTTATCACCAAGTTAGTCTACGACCTACTGTTATGGATTTTTCGCAGTTGGTTATATCACGAGATAATATCGCCAACTAGGGACACTGATTTATACAACCAGACCAATGAAGCATAAAACTGTACGGAAGACCTAGAGTTTTTATTGGTCCTTTGAACAGGTAGCTGCTCGCATAACCCAGCCGGTTCAGTCCAGAACGTAAATATTAGCCTCCGTTCTATGGATCATATATTTCAGACATACTGGATTTATATACAAACAAACCAGACCGCATCATACAATAAGACCGAAAATAATAGTTACACAAAACCAGACCAAAAAGTAACTGTGGGTGTGTGACTGTAGCTAATATACTGAGAATAACTCAGGTATAGTAAATCGTATAATAGTCAACAGATCAAATAGAAACTTATAATACAAGGAATATGAATATACATATAACATAGTTACCTAATGGTCATACAATAAGAATATATATAGTAACAGTCCATTCATAGATCCTGACAGTCACGACTCACTATCCTAACACCTACCACAGAATATAGTATGTTGATTTTATTTTTCGCGTAATTTCCTACTGTTGTTGAGCTAAAACATAATTTCGTACATCCTGATCCCTTGATAAATTTAAATAAACTGAGGAAAAGAGGATTTGCAGAATAATATGAATTCGTCATATTTTAAAGTTACTCATCCGCTGCAAACGGCCTAAATTTACGGTAGCAATATTACAAATTTTCTTTCATTACGTACCATAATCAATAAAGTTTAATTCAAAACGATATAAGTACACAGGAGTAAACAACATATTTAACATAATAATTAAAATTGATTAGCAGTTATATGCTGAAGATGAAATCATAAAAAATGAAGAAGGGAATGAAGTTATAAATGATAACACAGAGACAATGAATAAATATGAGTTGTTACAGAATGAGTGAAAAACATGGCATCTGCTTAACATAGTATTCAAGATAATGTCGTGAATGGATGCTAGTAGGATTTTTTTACTTTGAGTAATAAAATATAATGTAACTGACAAACTTTCAAATAGTATAGCTATCTTACAATCGTAATAAGAGGTTCAGAATACTTTATTACTGTTTTCAAATGTTAAATCGAAAGCGCTTGATGTGAGTAGCTTCTTCAAAGTGGAGTTAAAGTGGTGTTGTCTGCCTGTTAATCATTTTAAATGCTTTGGACACAAACTTGTTGTGTTTACTATTCATCAAATGTTTAGTGATCCCACTTGTGAATAATTTACTTCCTTTCAGGCACAACTTATGGAGAATATATTCGCTAAACCTTAGGAGAAGCCTTGAAATATAATGAATTCATGTTATTCTGTGAATCTCATTCTTCTCACTTTAGTTCAGAAATATAATATTTCGATAAAATGTTTCTATATATGAGATTCAGATTCGTTTGACTGACAATCGTAGTTCAGTTTCCGTTTTTCAAATATGGTACTATCTTAGTTATGAGTATTTTAGTCAGTGAACTTGTCCTGTTTTACATTAATATTTCCTTATTACATTATTTATATAAAAGAATTAAATAAATAACTAAAATCTGTACAAACACCGATCAATAAATGTCAAGTTAACAAAGTGCAATTTGGATTGATTGAAAAAGAAAATAATGAATTTGTACTTAGCTACTAATTTCTCATTTAATTACATTTTGTTTTGAAAAATGAAATTGAAATTAAAATTCGTTATTAAAATGGAATCCATCACAAAATTAATATGATAAAAGCGAAAAAAAAATTTCAATCTTAATACTCTATTAATCTCGTCTATTTTGTATCTTGTTTTAATAATTAGAAATGTAAGTAAACTGTAAATTTATGAATAATGACCCTGGGTCAATAAAATATCACTACCAAGATTTGATTCAATAGTTTCTTTTATATTTGTATATTGAATAGTGTGAGAACCATATAGGGCGTGGGAGTTTAATGCTTCAGGAACATTTTACTGTATACAATTAGAAGTGTTTGGTTGTAAATACAATAATTATGTGCAGAATGTGTTATGCAGTTTAATTACTCATAACATATTCCTTTTTTTTATTTATAAACATGCATTCATAGATATAAGCTCACAAACCGAAGATAAGTTGATCTGTACACGGTGCTAAGTATACACCAGTTTAACTAGACTAATAAGCTTGTTTCAATTCGGTTTTGGGAATTCGGTCTAGAACGAGTGTGCAGACTTCAACTATATCAATCGATAACATCATCATGCTAGTTTATGAAAGTTCGTCATTTTTTCAGAATGTTGGATTTTTCATCAGACCAGTGATAATTCGCATTAATTCAGCAGATATTCTGGACTTAGAAAGGAATAGGGATTTTATACCTAGGCAATGATAGATATTAGTCCAAAGCACAATATTTTTCCTGTTTTTCCTGGTAATTGCAGATATAATGGTGCCTACAGGTTGTAGCGGTACAAAATTATTGCTGCTGATATAGTGAACTAAAATATAAATCTTAGACTAGTCTGACTTCAAGTTTTCAGGTTCATAATTGGAGTGAGCCTGAAGGCAATAAAAAATTATTTACAAAACATAAGTCAAACGAGCATAATTTTTATTCAATTAAAAATAAATTTCGACATTGAATGTGGATCTCATAGAGATAAAACGACAAGATAAGGGTGTCATATACAATTTAAATCACAGTGATAAATGAGGTTGCTGTGATATTTATGCTTCGCAGCTATTAGCAGAATCCAATTTTGTGACAATTTAAAAGCTAGTCTTTGGAATGGGTTTGTAGCTCACTAAACACCAAGGCTATTGAATGAATACAAACTATATTTCTTATCGTAACTCAGCTTCTTCCAGTCACAGATTTCTCATTGAGTTTCGTTATTATCAACTGGTATGAGTTCCTGTATATTGAACTTATAATAACGACTAGTTTTATTATTTATAATACATTTGATAGTCTGAACGAAAAAGTTCACTTCAGTCATTCACTTTGAATTCGTCTTCCATCATTCATCAGAACGTTGTAGATCACGAATGAAACATACTTTTGCACGACACCAATCACTACAATCCAATTTCATATCTACTTAGAAAACATGTTTTGAAATTGTGGTATTAGTAACAATCAACGGATACCTTTAAAGTTCAATCCTCAGTTTTATTGGATTCAGCTGAATCTAACTGGCATATTAAGCGATATGTGCGACAATTTCAAAGATAGCTTAGATATTCATTTTAATGTATAGTGGACAAAGTATTTTTTAATACTTCTTGAACCAAGGAAGATCATGTTCTTAAGTTTTTGTGCTGTTTTCTTCATTTACAGGTATTTGTCGTTCAAAAATCAGAAAGTGAACAATCCTCCCAGGATACTGGATTTCGTAGTCAAGTGAGTAATTCTTAGTGTATATTTGTGAAATCGCCTCTTACAGATTCAAAGAGGAATGAATGACTGTGTTGGTTAAATTATTGTGTAGAGATCTCTCTGATGAGTGAGAATTTTTGTTGTATGTCTATGGATGACCACCACTATTGTACCATTTTGGTCTGCTGTAATGAAACCAACAGCAGCGGCAAACAACGACACCAACAAGAGCAACCCTGTTACCATCACCAACACAACCACTATCAACAACAACGATTTAAATGTGTGTCTAAGAGAGCATATGAAAATTTGTAAGAAAACGTTTTACCAGTAAATTGAATAACTTATAATAACATCAGTTTTCTTTTGTAAATGAAAATCTAACATATAATTGTTTGTTTATTATTACATTGTGAGCATTCGATCCTTTATTTTCTTCATTTATTTTCCATTAAATTGAATATAAATAGGAATGTTTTGTCTACAGTGAAACAGTATAAATCAGTTTTATTGAACAATTATCTTTCCAACAGAGTGAAATTGATTTATTTCTTTAGGATATTTCAGGCACATTCAAATTTGATAATACTCTGATCGTAATGTATTTGATTGACTAAGCTGAATGGAGTTTATTGGTAGTTAGTGAGTGGTTATATGACAGGAATATCCATTCAGAATATTTTGATTACAGATATATAATTCGAAACTTTATCATCATATCAACTAGTATTAATTATTCAATGAACATATAAAGTTAAAATCTTTGTAGATCATGCGACCGAATGGTTGAGATAAGAATACTCAAGTTGTAATTTAAGTAAAACTCATTTCATTTCAATAACTTAGCAACTTGCTAGGTATCCAAAGGTCTGTTTTTAATTGATTAGATGCTGACTTTTCACTAGCAATCGTCGTTACTCAATGTAGACCACAGCCCCAATTATATTCCGTTTTCCGAAGACCGTACTCACACTAATAAATATATTAAAGGATCTTTGAAGTAAAAATGCACAGTTCTGTTAAATTTATGCATAAAATTGATGGGGAAATATTAAAAAAATCTTTGTTAATGGTATTTCAACTGTAGGGCATTATATTTTAAATAAACAACATGATTAAAACTTACTCAACGGTTTACTGCCAGATTCGAAATTTCGAATTTATGGAAATCTGCATTAGTATCTAGGTACTTTTCAGGATAAGTTGAAAAAAATACTTGCACACAACTGTATGAATATTTGATTTTCATTATACTATTATTGATGTTGAAATAAAAAACTGGAAATTAACTTCGATTTACAATAATCAAGTTGAGCAAACTAACTGGTAGTAACATTAAATATCACCTGACAAGATGTTCTCTATTTTATAATTCCTACTTGAAACCTAATAAATCCTGTTTTGAAGCAGATTCGTCATAAGGCTACATATTTGTAAGTAATTATGAAATATATTAATAGTTAATTTCCTTAATTGTGATAGAAAAAGTATTGTGGAGGGTGTTAAAACATTTACATGAGAAAGAATATCAAACTAATGAACGAGCAATAGGCCATAATTCAAATGAAAATAAATGTGTTATTTTCTCATCACTTAAAACTGAAGTTATTAAGAATACTTCACAAAAAGTTAACGGAAATCAAGGGGAACAAAATTAGGAATATACAAATAATAATTTAACGAAGTGAAACGTGTTATATTAAAGGAAGATTTTCAATATTAAATCTTATGTTGACCATAATAGAAGTTAATGATTAACACTCCCTGCGTTTGATAAAGAATGCATAGCTTGATTTCTGCTTCGGATTTTTTTGTTTTGTTTCTGATGTTTCAGATCTAGCCATAATTCAGGTCTTCATTAAAAGATTACTCATAACTATCCATCTACGGTGGACTACCAGTAGAAATAACTGTTCAGTTCACTGGTTTTTTACATATTAGTTTAGTTATTCATCTAGAAAATCTGTAACATGAATAGTACAGGGACAAACATGAAGCAACCGTCAATTCGAAAGAGGCCTTTGTAAATGGATAGTTGATGTAAAAGAAAACAATAAAACTACCAAGTATAAACAGATTTTATGCAAATAATGAACCCATTAGACTCCTTTGCAGGTTACCCTATCTGTATATTGAGAAAACAACATATAAATTAACCCAAATGGATATAGACTATCAATTCCCTCGAACCCCTAAAAGGATCTAAGTAGATTTTTGGGGGTCATAACAGTTTTTTTTATTAGGAATGTAGGGTTAGGCTTTTCATCACAAACTGACATCAACCATAATGCGAAAATGCCTTAAAGGTTTTGTGATGTTCAAGCAAAAGTTCAAGTGGCTCTATGTTAATTATTTTGTAAACAAAAATGTCAATAGGTCAAAGTTTGTTTCGGGATTAGAGGGTCTGTGTTTAGGGTTTATAAAATGTCAGTTTATCCGTTAAGTTAATCTTCAAAAAATATTGAGTATTTGATACGTTTCACACCACTAATTCTCATCTACGGTGACATAAATTAAAATTTTGTTATCATTCTAAAGGTTTTCAGCACCATAGAAAGACATTACTACTACTCGTTATACGTGATATTTGATTCTGATTAACTCGTCCCTATACGATGCTTTTACTCTAATTCTCACCACAGTTTCAAATTTCATTCGGAAGTATAATCTACTCACAGTGATACTTCATATGACAAAATAATTCCACTTAACTTACTACTCTCCACTATATAGTGAATTAACTTTCTATTTCTAGGCTAGTATTTTCACTTCTACAAGCAAATATGTTTTCATTGACGTTTACCTCCAATAACTTTACCAAAACAATCCTAAACAGGATTTTATAACTAGAACATCGATATGACAATTAATTCAAATAAATTCTCTCTACATAACCAAATTTGAAGTTGTAAAGTGGTAGAAAAATAACATTGTGAGTGGAATATGTGATGAGGTGTAGTGTAGTTATACAAATTATAAGTTTGAACAAGTACGTACTTGAGCGTGTGTCGTAGAGTAGAGATACTTGAAGCAATAACAAACTATTTTCCTCTCACATTTTTATCAAAGCAGTTTTATGTTGAGAGATTTCACTGAAGGTTGTCTCCTACCGGTTTCAAAATTTCAAAATGGTTTCAGTATCATGAAAGGCGACTCTGTGTTATCATCCATAGTTTACTTGGTTTCTAATGGGATTTATGGTTAGAGAAAAACTCAGTGTATTCAATTTCTTTTGACCTTTATTATTTTTTTCGGGAAGGGGCATGGACTTTCTTAACACTTAATAAGTTGTAATCCAAATATCTTACTCTCGGTTATTCGTCATTCATCTGGGTTAAAGTGTTTTGTGGTGTGCTGAAAGTAATGTAATGAAGTGATATATTGTAATCTATGTTCTAAGAAACTTTTATCTTACCCGTTAACTTCTTTATACTGGATATTTGTTCATTCCAAAGATCTTAACTACATTCATTAATTCTTTGTTTCATCAGTGTGTATTGTTCTTGGGAGACTAGTGAAAATTGAGGCCTTTGCAGTAAGAACCCTAGGTCCTCACCTATCACTGGATACTCATACTTGGATCCTAGTTTTCTTTTAACTTTACTAGATGGACTAGAGAAAAAAGGTTTACTTTGATTAAACTCCACCTTTACACTAAATTTGTTATTTGTAGACCTGACGTTTAATTTCTGAAACCTATCCAGTTTAATTCACGCTCTATTACTCCCGGAATATTAAAAATTGTTTACCCTAGTATTGTATTACTGTAGGGTCAAGACGTTTCTCATGAATATTTTTAATGATGCGTAATTCAATAGATTCTATTGATTTTCCTGTGCTTTTGTAGTACTTAGTTCCACAGCAAGGTCCCCAAATATCGCTAGTGTCACTTGCATTTACTGAGCTAATTCGAGTAAATTAGATACATCGTCTAACTTTTCGTCATTCTGTGTACAAGTGTATATTGAATATACGCCGTTGATTCGCATCATTTTATCTCTCTACTGATATTGAATTTTAATTGGCACTAATCTTTTATTCTATTTTTTACGTTTCGTTGCAGAAGTTTTAGAACTAGTAAAATGTACTTGAATGAACTATATTGTAGTGTATTATTAAAATATACAACTTTACTGAAGTTCATGGTGAATTACAAAACCTTACTTCAGTTGAAAGCCTCCTATTTATTATTTGTGTTTATTTATTATGTAAAATAGTTATCGGGGCTATCAAGGAATTCACGTAATATAAGACACATTTCAGTTTAATATACCTAATATATTTCATTACAGAACTCTGAGTAATATGCCTTTGAGATTGAAATAGGATACGCTTACTACAGTTATCGTTTATGTTGAGATAAGTTTTTTTATATTCACTTTTTTATCCTAGTTTCTCGGAAGTAAAGACAAGTGGAACATTTAGCTTCAAGTAAATGAGTACTGTTTGTCTGCTTTCCCCTTCATGAATATTTAATTTGAGTGCAATAGTGTCCATTATTAGCATTCAATTATTTTAATACTTCAGTGAAATGCCTATTTCCACTTAATCTTAATACTGGCATATGTTTTGTGTTTATTAAGTGATAAACATTTTCGCTTCGACTTACTGATCACTAATAAGTGTTGGAATAATTGTGTTTAGTCAATTTAAATGCATGTATGCATACAAGTCTTTATTAATTTATTTATGTTCATGTGCATGTGAACAGGTGATAACAGTATGAAACTGTTACCTGAGAAACAGATCTAAATGTTTTCTATCTTACATTCATCTTTTATGCAGTTGAAAATAAATTTAACTTGAAAGTGAAGGAAGTTTATGTAAATCAATCTTTGCTTTAGCATTATCGTATCCTTTCTACATTATCCTAAGTGTTCATAGATGGTAACTTAAGCCGTTTCAGGTTGTCTGTTGATCAGGTGTGTGTTATCTTGTACACAGTTTCATTACTTCTGATGAATTCTTTCTTCTCTTTTAAACTATAAACGTAAACAATTTCGCAATCTTCAACTAGTCATCAGTTCTCATTTTTTGCTAATATAAATAATTTCAATTAAGAGCTTCACATGTTTTAACATAAGCTAAACAAAACATCAACGTCTGAAGGTCTCAGTACATTTGCATAGCTTAATAAAATAACATATATTCTCTGCTTATTTCAGAAACATATGAAATTGTTAAAAAATGTTCACATTACAAATTTATGTAATTCAAGAATGGTGTGTCACCCTATTTTGAACTTGTGTTTGATTCTGTGTCAGTGTTTTTGTCAGGAAATACATTCAGTGTTTATCACTTCAAAAATTGTTTTTTTTCCTCTCACTACAATATGGATTCTTCATTGTTTATTAAGCAATGATTTTTGGCTGATGCGTTCATCCTCTGTTGACCTGCGAGAAGCATTACATTCTCATAAAAGCTTATATAAGTAATGATATGATTTCTAGGAAAATGCTTGGCCAGTGAATATCGAAATCAATAATAACTTAATGTTTATAATTTTACTTTTAAAGTCATATTTAATGTTATACAAGCATTGGCGATGAGTTTTTTGTTGATAAGGTATTTACTTTGACCACTAACCAGTGAAATACTCAGTTGGTTGTTATTTTATATTATAAATTTAGTAATTGCCATTCTTTTGAGTTACACTGGCTTATAGTTTCGGGAATATTTTATTCATATGATCAACTAACGGTCTTTAACTCACCCCACCCCCACAATTAAATATGACACTAACTCATTTGTATTTTTAAAAATTTGATTCCCACTTTTGTTTTCTTATAACGGTTGTTTAACTTTTTGTAAAATAATACAAAGGATTATCAACCATTTACGCAATAATAATATGTATGTCTCCCTTAAATTACTGTAGATTAGGGGATATGTGCAAATTTGTTTCTTTTTTTCATCTTGAGTTGTTAGACTAATCTTTGACGTATTAATTTTGAGATAAGCATAGACTCATTCGATATTTGTCTAGTTTATCTACTTATAGAGTTATTGTATAATAGCCATAACCACTCATCCAATTAATCTTTAATTTAATTAATTTGAGCTTGTATAAAATATTTTGTTACGTAAATTAATTTATTGTTTATTTTTTTCTGTCCACTTTATTCTCTTCATCTTTAAGGTATTTTTGCTTCGTAAATATGCAAGTAATGAATTATCAAAGAGCTGTTATATATGCAGTCTATGTTCTGAAAGAATTGTTTATAAAGTAAGTCATCATTATAAATCTCAATGTGGATTTCGAATAAGTTCATCTTGATCAAACGATCATTGAAATCTACGTTTTATTGGGTAATAACTTCATATTACTTTTATTATTCTTTGAAATGACTACTTTCGTTCACTGATGAGATGAAAAAATACAATAATAATAATAATGAAATCAAAGGATTCAAGCTTTTAAACGACGTTTGTATTATTGGGTGACCAGATCTGAAACGCAATACCCATTAAGCATTAAACATTTGTGAACCCGTTACTAATTAATCTATTCTGTTTAAATTATAAGCATTTGCTGACTGATTACGATTAAGTTCTGCAGTATGCAAGGGTGACAGGTACCCTTTTATCGATTTGTTGAACGAAGATTACTTATAAGTGGCACACAACATAGTAAAAACTGCTACTGGAAGTAATTTTTATATACCTTGTAGTTTCTGTTAATTTTCTTTAGGTAAGATGGTATCAGGTTACTAATATTACTTTCATAATCAATGTTCAACTTCAAAAATCTGTCGTAAATGTAGGCTTCAATATGCCTTCTGGATGTTGTATATTCAGATAGTAACAATAACTTGTATGTTTTTGTCTTTTGTGGTAGAACTATTAATGAAATTCTGTCAGTGGTATATTGATAATAGCCTTCCCATTTTGAGACTTAAGTAATCTTTATAGTTTTGATTACCGACCAAATGGACTTATAGGAGGCAGAGGAAGAGCCATTAGATTTTGTTTTAATTAAATGAAAATCTCACGTTAAAGATATCAAATATTAAAAATCTTTCTAACCAACTGGAACCATTTCTGTTAAGTAATTAAACACCTAAGTGCTTTTAGAAAACTTATGTACTAATATCTGTGGCTAAACTAGTAGGAGTAATCGCCTCTCATAGGAATATCAAATAGTATGTATTTTAGTCGTAAACATGTGATGAACTCTGATCGATTTTAAGGAGGAGAACTAAACTGTTACAATTTACTGCTTAACTTTCAACACGTATTACTAAAATATAGACTTAAATGAATTCTTGGCAGATCAACTTCAAGGATGACGACCACTATATGACTGAAACATTTGGTATCATTAATTACTATCTAATATATATCAATTTGTGGAATTTGTCATTTTGATTCTATTTAAATATCTTTTTGATCATTTATTTATCAAAAAGGGTTTATTCACCACAAAACAACTGTGGAATTACTACGCAGATCTATCCAACCCTAATTTTCTGACTCATTTTGCAATAGTTCATAATCGCTTTTCTACAAACACTTTTCCATCATGGTGTCGTGCTCATCCACAACGTATGATGGCTCATAATGGAGAAATCAACACACTACGTGTAAGTTGCGGTTATTTCTTGTGAAACAGAACGATTATTCTTTTAACAGTTATGATTCCAATTCATTGTTCTAACGGATGTTTACACTGTTATTTAGTGTGACTATATTTTCTGTTATACTTACATCAGACTGGTTTTAATTAGAGACTACAGGGCAAGTATCTAGTAGATATTTTATCTCCTTGTATTCCTAGCATAAGTTATGTTCAACTAGTGAATTTTCGTAGAATAGATTTTACTTTACAGGATGATCAGTTCGATAACATTCTGGGTTGATTAAATATGAAACATTCTGCCACGAAAGTTTAATCTAGTGATTATATGATGAAAAGAATTATGACAGATAGTTAGTATCAAGAACAAACTAAACAAAACAGTTCACATCTCTATCACAACACCAATTTTCAGATAACCTTTCCGCTATTCCTTCTTGATTAAAGCACATTCGAATATAAAAATGAGTTCTTACCGAAAAAGAGGAAATAGTTTATTTGATCAAATAGTTCTAAACAAGCAAACCAAAAAAGATGTGATAAATAAACTTTCTACTATGATCATAAATAATGATTTGAACTTAAAGGATTTATACTACACAACTGAATATACACTGCCTTACGTAACCAATTATAATGATTGATGAACTATAGCTATACTCACACAATTTTTTTCATTGTCACCCATACAGTCTTCAGGATAGTTCAGTTAGTGGTTATTAATTTAGCTATAAATTGTTCTCCAGTTATAAGTTAGCCGTTAGTTTGGTTCTTATCAATCGACTAAGCTAACACAATTTCAAGTACTTTGTATTGTCTTCAGCGTGAGGAAATCAATTTTGTTTGTTCATTTCCATCTCAAACCATAAATAAGTGTGAAACGTTATTATTTTTTTCTTCATAGAAATCGATAATTCTTTATTCGTAATACTTTCAAGCCTTATCCTGTTGTCAAGGTTCAAAAATCTCTATCTGAAACGGTCTTTTCAATATCTTAAACTTTAGTTTTTCCTCTCTAGTTGTAATTTTATCTCTGTGCGGTAGATATCAAGCTACTTTTGTTAAGGTATTGAAATTTACGAATTCAGTGCTGAATACTATGAGTCTAACTTCAATTAGTTAGACTTCTGTATATTTCTTGTAAACTACTACTGTTAAGATTGATGTCTTTCTGTTGAAAACTTCAAACTAGGGAGTAGTGATTACTAAGAATCATGAATAACCAATCATTTTACTTTCAATATACTTTCGAACAATGAAGTTCTAGTATTCCTACCGGTAAACTGTTGTTTGGGATTACTAAATTCAAGAATGATGGTTGTTCACTAGCGAACAAAGAAAAACTGCATTAAATTGAACGAATGTTGTTGAAGAGTTATGATCATTCAATTTCATTACTGTTACTTAACAATAATTAGGTTTGTGCCCGTAGTCTTAAAACTATGCTGAAAAGCTTATCCAGAGAAATTTTATTGATTGTTTTAACTAATTTGTAAGGAAAATTATCCTCATTTAGGAGTTTGTATGGGGTTTTGAAAACCACAATTTTTCACAAACTATATATTACCGTAGGTACTTTTTAGTTAAGATTTATGTCCGAAAGTCAACCAAATGCTCTATAATGACTCTAGTAATATCAATGATAATTATTATTGCACTGAAAGATAAGAAAGGTTGCAATTACTAGTCACAGAAGCTTAGTTTCGTAAGAATGGTTGCTTAAGAATAAAGATATGTATATAAAGCTATAGAAACTAGATATGAACACAAGCGTCAGAAAGATTTTGAAAAAAAGAGGAAAATACAGGTTAAACCTGCTCTGGTATGGCTTATATCAACAACCAAGTTAGAAAAGCATTGCACAAACTCCTTTTGAATTCAAAGTTTGGGTTTATAAACGTGGATTCAAATATCTTCAGTGACGTGATATTTAACTCGACCTCTTAATAGTCGTACTGATAAATAGTTTGAACGTAACAACTGTGAACCGAAGGTGATTGGTTCATGACTGTTAATGAAGTAACCTTATCTCTTCACTAGTCTATTTCGGTAACTTGAAGAATTTCTCATCTTCCAACAGTTCTGCAATTAGACGAGAAACATTTTCATCTCGTAACAGGAGAAATTTATAGGGACCATTACTCAGTATCCGCCAGCATTAATTGATTCGCTAGATATGCCGAGATTATCCAAAATCTATTAGTAAATTGTGCTTAAGGTCTAGATTTCACTAGACAAGCTTACAGGTTATGTGTTGAGTTAAACCACCAATCTCATCACATTCAATAAAACAAGAATACACGAGCTAATGAGGCAGAATTCAGTGAAACTAAAATATTTGGCTGATTTGTTCGATGACTGTACTTAAAAAGTTTGATTACTCAAACTGATGAGAATAGCTCCGAACCAACAGGTAACTTGAATGTGTAAACCATTGCTAGTTACTTGTTAAAAATAGTTGGATTCATTGTTTATACCGGTATTTTTTATGACCAAGTTATAAGTGAAAATTAATCAAGGGTAGAAATACGAGCTCTTGGTTAAAACCAAACTTGTCACTGCACTCTATAAAAAGAAAACTGATTACCCATTTAAATGATACTAAAGTTTATATCCACACTAAATTACTTTGTTAGTCATTAAATAATCTCTTTTTATTTAATATAAAATCAGGGCAACGTAAATTACTGTCGAGCGCGTCAAAGTTTAATGTTCAGTCGTTTTTATACAAAGGCACAAATGTCAAAATTATTTCCTATCATTGAACAAGGTATGTCTGATTCAGGATCATTTGACAACATGATGGAATTCTTATGTCAAGCTGGTGACTACAGTCTTCCAGAAGCTGTAATGATGATGATTCCCGAAGCGTGGCATAATCTAGATCCGGAAAAAGGTGAAATATCTAGAGAGAAATGGAATTATTTCAAATGGGCTGCCAATAGTTTTGAACCTTGGGATGGACCAGGTAAATCAATGTCTATTTTTATAAACCTGTAGATTTTTTTAACTTATTGATTAAATTGATCTATTCATTTTGATTATTGAGTATATCCTTGATTGGTTTTCGTATTTGATGTTAATGGAATCCATAAAGAAAAAATAAATTAGAGTTTTGTTGCCAAGTCAAAGCAATGAATATTTTTCGGATAAAAATCAACTCCTCGTTCATATTCATTTCAGCATTGTTGTTTTGATCCTGAGTGTACACTGTTTGTTCATTTCCATTTCAAACCATAAATGAGTGTGAAAGGTGTTTAGTTATTTTTTTTTCAGTAGAAATCAATAACTTTATTCGTAATACATTCAAGCCTTATCTTAAGCTCAATCGAATGAAGTGTTAAAATAATTAGCACGTTGCATAAAGTCTCGACAGAGATTAAGTATTCTACTCATTGGTACGCTAAGGAGGTATTATTATTATTATTATTATTATTATTATTATTATTATTATTATTATTATTATTATTATTATTATTATTATTATTATAGAATCGCATTAGTTTGGTGTATATATTTATAGTTTCCTCAATAAGGGTGAAAGAAAAAAATGTTCTTTTGCCTTTATCCTTGGAAATGTGTGACGACCATCTTTGGTAATTTTGCTTAATATTATGACACTACATTATTTTATCTTTAAATACAATTTTACAGCCGAAGACAACGATCTAGTCAAAAGAAAATTTTCTTCACCAAAATTTTTCATTCTTTACAATGAATACGTTTACCTGTTTGTGATAATATGATGCTTATGATGGTGCGTTAGTTTTTTATATCATTAGCCTCTGATTTTGAATTTGGGGAGGATTTCAAGTACTGACTTCAATCAAAAGTTAGCGATAATAAGTTCTTTCTAAATTATCTCACTTAAGCTTTAAACTGTTTTTGATTAATTCGAACATTTATAGTATCCATTTAATTGGCGACTGAATCTTCTTTAGTTGTATTAGGATTCTATGTCGAATTGCCGCCCTCTTGTTTAGCAATTAATTTCCATTAATCTATTACCGGTCTATCTAACATCTGAACTTTTATTGCTAATAGATAGTTATATTTAAAACTAAATTATTATCATTGATTAAACAATTGCTTATTTAGCCGAATTGATAGTATATAGGTTAGAATCCACCATTTGAAGTTGCTCATTGTCTTGTTTATCTGAAGGCAAATTTTTGACCAGACATTTCTAAATACGTAGAACTTATAAGTTCTAAACTTTTGTCCGATAGATTATTCTTTATGATTTCGTAATCTTTGACACAAATAAAAACCAGCCTTGTCGATGAAAAAATTAATGTATTAGTCAAAGAAATTCGTTTTTAGATTAGTTTTATGAGGAAAAGTATGAACAAACATAATACAAATTTTAAATATTAATTGCACTCCATGATTTCTTTCTTTCATTATCCTTCCTAAGGATACGTGACAGTTTCATCAGTGATTTTCCGGGTAGGTAAAACAAATGATTCATCATCGAATGTTCAAGGATTAAGAGCAGATGAAAATGAATGCGAATAAAACTAGAATGATCAGTTTTAACAGGCATTTCCTAGGGACACTAACATCTGGTTTTTAGCAATTACAAGAGACTACACCTATCATCTTGACGCAGTTCTAAAACAAATGATTCTAACAACTTGTGGCAAGTCTTTGTCACCCAAATATTTGTTTTTCTGCAACGTAGCTCAACTTTATCCAGCTCCATAAACCAGGGTAGACGCCATTTTAGGGTATGTTTCAATCGGTCCAGTTTCCCAATTTCGTCAGCCAAATTACACTTTCCTCTGTGACTTTGTTTTGAACTTCTGCAAAATTTCAAAGTGCTTTAAAAATATCTGTGACTGAATAACTTAAACTTACAAATACATCTCTTTCCTAACAGTCATGTTTTGTAGTTATAATAAAAGGGAGAAAAATCACCACATGGTTTATTCGGTAAAAAAGAACATCAGTTTACTTATGACGACCGAACTCCTTTTACTTACGTACGCTTGTTACTCCTCGTGGAGGAGCATAGGCTGCCCACCAGCATTCCTCACCCAACTCTGTCGTGAGCAATCCTTTACAGTTGCTGTTCATCGTTTTCATGTCCGTATCCAATTCTCAACGCAATGTGTTCTTTGGTCTACCGCTTTTGTGTTTCCCTTCAGAATTCCAAGTCAGAGCTTGCCACTTGATCCAGTTTGATGATTTCTGTAATGTATGTCCTATCCACCTCCAACATCTTTTCCTAATCTTCTCATCATTTGAAAGCTGGTTTGTTTTCTCTCGCAGTAGGCTGTTGTTGATGGTATCCGGTCGACGGTTATTGAGTATCTTGAGGGGAAAACTGTTTGTTAATACTTGTACCTTTTCGATTATGCTTGTGGTAGTTCTTCAAGTTTCAGATCTGTACAAAAGAACAGTCTTAACGTTCGTATAAAAGATTCTGACTTTGGTATTGGTTGACAGTTGTTTTGGGTTCCATATGTTCTTCAACTGTGGGAATGCTGCCCTTACTTTGTCTAACCGTGCCGTTTCGTCCGCATCCGATTCTCCTTATTCATAGATGATGATGACCAGATACGTGAAAGTTTCCACCTCTCCCAGAGTTTCTCCAACAAGTGTGATTTAGTTGATATTCTTTGTGTCGTATTTGAGGATTTTGGTTCTTCCCTTGTGCATGTTGAGGCCTACTGATGCGGAGGGTTCTGTCACACCGGCTGTCTTGACCTGCATTTGTTTGTGTGTAAAGGGTAGAAGAGGTAGGTCATCTGAGAAGTCCGAATCGTGTAGTTGCATCCAAGCTGTCCATTCCGCGCTTCTCCTCAGATATGGAGGACCTCATAATCCAGTCAACCGTTTTCCTACCTCTTTATATCACCGCCTGGAGTCCCTCCGGGGGCTACTGCAGGTCCCAAACCCGGATAAAGGAGGAGGGTTGGGTATGGGGTTAGCGTAGAAAACTAACTCGCTAAAAAAACGCTAACCAGAAAAAATTATTCAAACCTTTTAAGAATGATAGGAATCTTTATTTTTCCGTGTGTATTAACTGTTGTAGTGATCGTGAAACATCAGTTTTTAGCATTATAACTTCTGAAATCGGTTTCAGGAAACAATAAAATTCATTAACGGTTGGAATTTCAAGGAAATAAGGTTTCTTCCATGAATTTTCTATTATTTTTACACACATTTCATTAGTAGTCTCTTTTTCTCATTATTTCATACAAATTGAATAAATTATTTCTCACTGGTTACAACCTCTCTCCCAATATATATATATATATATATATATATATATATATATATATATATATATATATATATATATATATTGTTTGGTTGTTTACGGATTTGCTTTTGCTTTATTTCTTGTTAATCCTATTAATAGTTAAGAGTATTTATAATGCCCCCACTTAAAATCGATAGCTATTTTCAGTTGTCTATGGTCGCTTTGTGTAGTTCCTGTTAACGTTATTGATTATTCTTTAGTCTTAGGTATTGAAATTATCAAAATAATTTGAATTGCCTACCTTTTACTGTATATGAACCTGAACGAATCACTACTACTATCACTATTAAATGTTTTATTTATTTGCTGTCTAGGAAATCTATACATCCTTGTTATGAGTATATGCACGTGTAGACAGATGAGTGTGCGCGTATGTATTCTCTTGTCTTCCAGAGGAGAAGAGGGATTAGAGGGGCTTAATGAAGAATTTACTTGCAAACTTTGAGGAAAGAAAAAAAACCTTTTTCAGATTATCTGTAGTTTCCTGCTTTTATTTTCATGAGCTTCTGTCACTCGTTTGTTTACTACAATCTATGTTGTATGTGTGTGTATGGGCTCATTCATTTATTATGCATTTACTTATCCTTTTATGTCGGATGTTTATTGTTCATATATTACGGTTGTTTTTATTTTAAGAATTATGGACATTTAAAAATTTTAACATATTATTGATTAGTTACTAGGTTGTATAAATCATTGTGCACCTATCTGATTGACAGATTGTAATTTCCTTTCATCTAAAGGAGATAGGAATGATGCTACCTACTGTGTTTGACTGGACTAATAAGTATGTTGGTAATTATGTGTTATTCCAAGAGGATGTTTTTCTAGTATTGAATTCGCTGCAGCTTAGCCTGTTCATTATCTAAATGATTAGAGGCGTGAGGAAATCGCGTTAGCGGAGTTATGCCTAATAAAGCAAATCCATCTCTGAAATAAAAGCTAGCAAATATTAGTTTACATTTTCTTGAGCAACTCTCTTGGTTAGAAAATAATTTACATATAATAAAGGATCTAGTAGAAAACTGTATTATTGGACTTTAACTTATATGACCATCAACAAAATTTCAGAAAATTATAAAATCTTATTAAGTTACCATTACGGTATTAGTTTTTAAAATGTAACATGAAATATACGATAATGTATATTTTACCTTAGTACCTACTAACAGGCAAGTATGGACTAATTACTTACTTACTTACTTACTTACGCCTGTTACTCCTCGTGAAGGAGCATAGGCCGCTCACCAGCATTCTCCATCCAACCCTGTCCTGGGCAATCCTTTCTAGCTGCGTCCAGTTGTAATTCATCGTTTTCATATCTGCTTCTATTATCCGACGCAATGTGTTCTTTGGCCTTCCTCTTTTTCGCTTCCCTTCAGGATTCCAAGTTAGGGCTTGTCTCGTGATGCAGTTTGACGATTTGCGTAATGTATGTCCTATCCATTTCCATCGTCTTTTCCTAATTTCTTCTTCAGCTGGAAGTTGGTTTGTTCTCTCCCACAGAAGGCTATTGCTGATGGTATCCGGCCAATGGATGTTGAGTATCTTGCGTAGACAATTATTTATAAATACTTGTACCTTCTTGATGGTTGTTGTTGTAGTTCTCCAAGTTTCAGCTCCGTACAGTAGAACTGCCTTGACGTTGGTATTGAAGATTCTCACTTTGATATTGGTTGAAAGTTGTTTTGAGTTCC